AATGCCGCTTGCCTTCCCCTTGAGTGTGTGAATGTCAGCGAGCTAATTACAACACTTTAATCACATTTGAGTTTACACAGTTTAGCAAGTCTATTAGGGCCAAGCACTAACCCCTGAAGTGAAGGAGTGTCCTGTTGCCTTAGGTAGCTTTGAGCTTCTCAGGCTGCCTTCTCATCCAGAACAAATTCATTTTTTCTTTAAAGCTTGACTGACATCATTCATTTATAAATATCCAACTATCCCAATGCTGTCTCTTAATACATAATATTTTGCATACAGCGATGGAGGACAGAAAGGGAGCAGTAAGAGGAGAGCAGCGCTGCAGTTAGCAGCACTTAAATATGCAGTTTCAGGTCATGCAATGAGTAAAGGATGCCTTACTACCACCACAAGTCCACCTACACAGAAGTATCCTGCTAGATGAAGACTGACACAAAACTCAAGAACACTGTCACTGGCAAGACTCTCCCAGTTCACACAGACCATGAAATTTTACAACAGTTTCCCATCTGTGAAACGTCAGATGGGCTTTGCAGCATGACCTGAAGAGCGGCATCTTCAGGTTACCTTGGAGTAGGTAAAGAACCAATTTCCAGAGTGCTAACCACTCTGTTGGCAAACCTTCCACAGTTAAGACATTTTAAACTAGTAGTTTCAGGTATTTTTGTAGTTGAAGTATCCTCAAAAGTAACAGGTCATCAAAGAGCCCATACCTGTTTCACACTTACTCCTTTCCTGATCCCCTCTTCCTTCTCAAGAGGAGTTACATGCACAGTGCACAACATTTTTTCAATATTTTTTATGAATTCAAAAAGCATTCTTCTTAAATGAATAATTATTAATCTATGGTAATTTATCTTTTGAAATGCCACCCATTCAGGGAAGACAATAACTTGGAATATCTTAAGGGGCTGAAATTGTCTTTCTTGCTGTTCAAGTAACAGATGTGTCCTAAAGCCGGTAGGCAGATAGGAGTGAGGGAAATGACAAAACTATCAAAGTAAATCCAAGTACCCAGTATTACTTTTTTAAAAAATATATATTTCTCATCACAATTTTCAGTTTGGTTCCCTATCATTGTTTAGATGTGTATTTTACTCTTGGTCTCTTTGGTATCAGCACACCACAGTCCCTCTGTAACCAAAAAGACATGGTCTGGTTAATCTGCATGGGATTGAAGGCAAACACCAAAGCAAAAACCCAGCATATGTGATGATACTGGGATGACTGAATCCTGTATTCCCCAAGAGAGCGCAATCCAGACTCCATCTCAATCTGGAACAGACTTTATCAATTCTACCTGTTGATATTCAGGCAGCAATGTTTAAAGGCTATGAGGCACGGGCCCAGCCTGGGCTGCCTAGTTGTTAACATACAGGACTCAAAGTCCCAAGAAAGGTATAGTGAACACCCGCTTGTCTCACTACGTGTCGAGTCCTCGCCCTGCCCCCAAGACTGAAACAGTATCTCTTCTCTATGGATAAAATCAATTATATTCTCCTTATACCAAATAGAAATTACTGGGGTTTCACTGTCTCAGTCCCTGCCCCAGAGATGCTGTGCAAGTGTCGGGCTCCAGCTCCTTGCAGCCCTGCCAGGCCCAGCCACAGGCTCTGCTGAGCTGGGGCCTGACCCGTGGGCTGATGTCCCAGCCAAGCTTCAGCCCGTCTGTATCCTCAGGGAGGTGCCTGACAGCCTGGGCTGGGGGATGCCCCTGGCTGCCCCCGGACAGCCATGCTCCCCTGGCTGGCAGGGGGGGGTCCACAGCTGCCAGCTCCCTGTCCCCTGGGGTGCAGGCGGTGCTCATTGTGCCCAGATACTCACACATCTGATCCTCCCTGGTGTGTGAGTGAGTACATGCCAGCCTTCACTAATGTATTAGGTACCTTGGTCACTAATTAAGACAATTATATCAAGAAAAAGTCTAGAGTTATGCCCATAGGCAAGAAGA